GGAGGGGATGGGGACGGTGGGGGAGAGCGCGTGCAGGGAACGGACGGTGGACAGAGCACGCACAGGACAGACAGACAGAGAGCAAACAGGTCCGACAGGCGGACAGGGCATGTATGCATTGGACAGAGGGACACAGACAGACGTGGCAGATGCACAGACGGACAGAGCAGGGGATGGACAGAGAGCACCCAGGAGGGCAGGACAGCCTGCACGCCTGGGACAGACGGAGGGACGAAGGGACAGACAGAAAACACAGGTGCACGGCGGGTGGATGGAGAGGCCACGTGTGTGTGCTGGGCGGACGGACAGACGTACAAGGCATAAATACAGGGCTGGGCGTCCCCGCTGTGCCCAGGGGAGCTGCAGGCACGTCCCCCTTGGGGGTCCCGGCATGGGGACACGGTCTGTGGGGCTGCCCTGGCAGCGTGGGGCACGCGCGGCCATGGGGCTGGCGCCGGCGCAGGGGGTGCCACAGCAGGAGCAGCACCCACCGGCGTGGACGTGCGTCTGCCCCTCTGCGCGACCGGGCACACGGGCCGGGACGCGGCACACGCGTGTGCGTGGGCGCGGGCTCTGTGTGCGCGGGCGCGGCGGAGGCGCTCACCTTCAGAGGGGTCGAGGCGCCGTGCCCGCCGCCCGTGCTTGGAGTTGTTGTGGACGAACATGTTGTCAGACACGGCCAGGACGTGGCCGTCCACGTTCACCGTCGTCGACACCACCACCTGCGGGACAGCCGGCTCAGGGCCACCGACCCCCGCGCCCCCGGGGTACGTCACCCCGCGGTGCTCACCCCTCGTGTCCCCCTGCGCCCCTGAGCATCCGGGACTGCCACGGGTGCCCTCCGGACCCTCCGTGCCTTGGTGGTGACACGCGTGTGCAAATCTGCACCTGTCTGGCTGTGCACGCCTGCGTGTGCATGGGTTTGCACACATGTGCATGTGCCAAGGGGCGGGCGTGCCCATCCACGCGCGGGCAGGAGCACTTGCACGCACATGTGCATGCATACGTGTGCACGCGCGTGTGTGCATACCTACGTGCGCGTGCCCCCGTAACCGTGCAGCACGCAGCGCCACGGGAGCCCCGCACCGGCCCTGGCACTGCCCCGCCACCAGCGCTGGCCCATCACCGTGTCACCGGCCGGGGGACCCCAGGGGACACCCCAGCCCATCCCCGCGTGCCCCCCCGCGCCCCGCTCCCCCCCTCCGGCGTGGACTTGGCTGCTCTCCCGGAGCTGCTTGGCGCCATGCAAATTGGATACGAACCCCCAGCTGCTGCGGGGAGAGCGGGGCCGCGGGCAGGGGACACGGCGGGGCGAGGGGGATCGGGGGCTGCAGAGGGGTTCAAGAGCAATTAGGGTTTGCAAATTAGGGGCTGCAAAGGGATCAAGGGAAATCAGAGTTTGCAAGTTAGGGTGGCAAAGGGGTTCACGAGGAATTAGGGTTTGGAAATTAGGGTTTGCAAAGGCGGCGAGGGGAATTGGGGTTTGCAAAGTCGTTGAGAATTAGGGTTTGCAAGGGGGTCAAGGGGAATTGGGGTCTGCAGAGGGGTTCAAGAACAATTAGGGTTTGCAAAGGGATCAAGGGAAATTAGAGCTTACAAGTTAGGGTTTGCAAAGGGGTTCAAGGGGAACTGGGGTTTGCAAAAGGGTGCAAGGGGAATCAGGGTTTGCAAATTAGGGTTTGCAAAGGAGTCAAGGGGAATTGGGGTTTGCAAAGGGGTCGAGGAAAACTGGGGACTCGATTCCCTGAATGGAGTCCCTAATTCCCCTCGACCCCTTTGGGAAAATATATGAGGTCTCCACCCCCATCCCCTCCTGCAGCCCCGGTGGGGGGGCAGGGTTTGGAGGGGGTCCCAGTGCTCACCTGGAAGCGCCGCATATCCCGGGGGTTCCCCGCGTTCTTCAGGCAGTTTTGGTTGCATTTGAGGAAAAACTTGAGGAAAAACCTGGGATGAAGGAAAGAACCCAGCGGTCGGTGGCGGCAAACCTGGGGGGGCCCAGGGACCCCACAATGTCTCCCCCCACCCCACCCCTTGGCTCCCGGCGCTGGAGCAAAGCAGGGGTGAGTGTCCCCACCGTCCTGGTGTCCCCACCGTCCTGGTGTCCCCAAATGGAGGCAGCACCACGCATGTCACACCACGCGCCGGAGACGTGCGTGGGTGCTCCCTGCACGGTGTGCCGTGCACCCCCCCGTGACACACACGTGCGCACAGCTGAGAACGCACACCATGTGCAAACACATGCAGGCTTGCACGCTGCCATGCACGCACATGCATGCGCTGCGCGGCTGCTGGGACCCCAGGGTGGCCCGTGGGCCCCCCGGCTGTGCGGGTGCTGCCAGGCAGCGTGCCCGCAGGAGGATGGACGGGCAGGAGGGCGAGCGGCCACTGCCACATCCCGGCCTAACGAAATATTCAGGCTGCTTGTCCACGGCCCCGTAATCAGCCTCAGCCCCTCAATAATTACTGGGCAGCAGCGGCAGCGCTCACGCTAGGGGCTGGGACGGGAGGAGAGCGCGTGGGGATCACGGCCCTGCGCCTGGGGGCACGGCCAGACCCGGTCCCCAGGGCCTCCCCCGGGATCTCCCTGGGGGGTGCCCCCGCGCACACCGGGGTGCAGGCCGGGACCCCCGCCCCGGGCACTTTTGGGCACCGAGGTGAGACCCGCTGTCCCCGTCCCCAGCCGTGGGCCCACCCCACGGTGCGCGGGCAAAGACCGGCACGGCCACGGGCACCCTGCGTGGCCACACACGGGTGCACTCACCCTGCACACACACGTGGCACACACACACACACACACACACACACACTTGCTCTGCACCGTGCCCGGCCATCGCGCTGTGCCAGCTCGCTCTGCCATGGCAGATTGCCACGCTGTGCCAGCTCACTGCACCGGCTCCGGTGACTGCACAGTGCCAGGTCACCGCCGTGCCAAATCACCACGCGACGGTGAGTCCCCGAGCCGTGCCAGGTCACCCCACCGCGCCAGGCTACTGTACCGCGCCAGGGCACTGTGCCACGCATGGCCACCGTGCCAGGCCAGGCCACCGCGTCCCTCTGTGCCACCTCCCTCCATCGGGCTGGCACGGGGCAGCCCATCTCCCGGCCCCTCGCCGATGCGCCTGGGCTCTGCCCTGCCCACGGGGCAGCCCTTCGGCAGGGCCTGGGCACTGCGTGGGGCTGGGGCCTCCCAGCGTGCCACCCTGTCCCATCCCCATGTGCCATCCTGTCCCCAAACCACTGTGCCACCCTGTCCCCATCCCACTGTGCCACCCTGTCCCCAAACCACTGTGCCATCCTGCCCCATCCCAGAGTGCCACCTTGTCCCATCCCAGCGTGCGATCCTGTCCCCATCCCAGCGTTCCACCCTGTCCCCATCCCAGTGTGCCGTCCTGTCCCCATCCCACTGTGCCACCCTGTCCCCATCTCAGCGTGCCACCTTGTCGCATCCCACTGTGCCACTCTGTCCCCAAACCACTGTGCCATCCTGCCCCCCCATCCCACTGTGCCAGCCTGTCCCCATCCCACTGTGCCACCCTGTCCCCATCCTGTCTCAGCATCCTGGCCTGGCACCTTGTCCGAGCATCCGACCCCGGCACCTTACCCGACATCCCGGTCCAGCACCCTGCCTTCATATCGTGCCCCAGCCCCGCACCCCAGCCCAGTCCCCCCAGCTCCCTCCCCAAGGGCTTCAGCCGGGCTGGGGAGGGGGACACAGGGGACAGGAGGGTGGGGAGGGGACGCAGGTGCCCAGCGGGAAGGTTCCCAGGGCTCTGTTAGCTGCTGGTGGAGGCTGGAGCGGGGAAGGGACCCCCGGGGACGACGGGGCACCCGGGGATGTGCGCACCCCGGGATCCCCTCGGATGCAGGTGCAGGGACGGGAGCAGCGGATGCAGCCTCCCTGGCCCCAAGGCCCCTCCAGCCCCATCCCTGGGGGTCACGGTGGGCACGGGCCAGGGGGCACACGGCCACTGGGGCCTTTGGGGCCCCCCAGGGGACTCTGGGCACCCTGTGGGACCCCTGAGCAGAGAGGGCACCCCCAGCCCGTGCTGCACTGGCAGCTCCTGCCCTCGGCCAGTGCCGGGGCACACGGAGAGGGGCTCCCACACCGGCGCTGCCGGGACGCTGCCCACGGGGAACGGTTTTCCCAGGTAAGGGCAGGAAGAGGGGGACCCCCCCGTGTCCCCCCGTCACCCGCTGCCTGGCAGGTGGTAATCAGGGGAAGGAAGGAGCTGGAAAACGGCAGGAAAACACCAAACCCCCCTCCGCCAGGAGATTGACAGGGGTGGCGTGGGGCTGGGGGGGACCCCCCGGCCCCGGCTCTGCGCTGCTGGGGGGGATCAGCCTGAACCCCAGGTCGGCCTCGTCCCCCCCGAGCGGCAGCCGCGCATATGGGCCCGGGAGTTAAAAATACAGGCGCTGTGCATGCATTAGCATCCCTAATGCACAGCGCTCCCCATTTAATATGCAAATTCCCGGCGCTGCTGCCGAACACCTTCTGTTCCGAGCGCATAAATTTGAATTTGCAATTAGAATAATCTTGTATAATTAATGAAAAGCGTCAATTTTAGCTCCTAAGTAATTTGATTAACATGTTGATAGGGCACTTATCTGGCTCTCTAAACCAGTGGG